TATTGATCGATGGTGGCGGCGCCGGGCGCGAGCCGCGCTCTCTCTTGGTCTGCTGGCGGCGAAATTATTCCGGATGTGAATTGTTGCGGCGGCGGCGGCAGAACTGCACCGCGCGTGATATATGGATGTGCATTGCGAAACAACTAATAATGATTACGTCAATTGTTGTTACGTGTGATTAATAAACGACTCGAATGTATCGCGCAAAAAACCAACATGAAATTGTGAATTGCAGAAAATTGAGGAAAATTATTAATGGATAGCGATCATATTTTTAATTTTTGTTGACTATAAACTACTAGGTAATTTTTTTTCATATTGTTTCTTTTTTGTTTTTACGTCGTTTTTTTCGTTTTTTGGAAACAATTTTGCGTTGTCCTGAAAAAAAAAACCGAAATCATAATATTAATGATGATCCATGAATGAATGCACAAACGCCAGGACGCATATCATTATGCTTTGTGTGATGTGTTGTGCGCTTATCCCGGCGCCTCCACCACTGCCCCTCCGCCCACGTGAATAAGAATCCGAAATTTCTGATTGATTGATTGATTGATTCTAAGAATATTTCTAGCCGACAGCACACATTCGTAGTCACCACGCTGTTATTTATTATTTTGCCCAACAAAAGCTCTGCTTTTAGCTCTGGCATAAAACGAAAAACCTGAATAAAAGTGAATAAAATGTTAAAATACTCAAGAAAATGAACGGATTTAAACTCTCCTGTTATGCAAGAAATAACGTTTCCGTTTGGTATGCATGAAATACGTGTAATTTAAAAGGTGGAATTGACGAATGCTTATTTTTTTCTGTGGGCTGGAATCGTAAAATTGTACGCCACCTCGTTAAACCGTTTCTCATTCCTGCGAGCGCTGTTCGTTCTTTGCGATTGTCAATGGCATTGTGCGCGCGGCATGCTTAAAATTCATTCGGCACTCATTCGTTGCAAAATTGGGATGTTTCCATTTCATTGTCGACCGGTTCCTCCACCATCTCATCGCGCGGTGGGATGAAAAAAAAAGTAGCGCACCGACGGCGTTCTTGCAGGACCGCTGAATGCGATGTCTGACTACGGCTGGCAGCGAAAGCCAATTTCCGCGGACATGAAAAGCACAAAACCTTCGGAAATGCGCAAAAGGACGTTAAAAACTCGAAGCATCGCGAGTTGAATAAAAAAAATCGTTCATTTCAATATGTTTACGAACAGGTTTTTCTATTTTGCGCCTCGGTAAAAGTGTACAATGCATTTTATTGTAAATTTAGGTGTGTAAAAGCAAATAAATTTTTTTATCGCTTATTTTATATTGATTTTTTGCAAAAACTCATTTGTGAGAATAGTTTGCAAACTTTTTGATGTGTGTATGGATGCAAGTTTTGAATCAGCCACAATATCATTGTGTTTTTGTTTAGCACCGACGTGTTTTTCGCCACGCTTCCGCTTTCGTACTTTTTCTCGAAACCCACACTGAATGCACCGCACAGATAGGAAAGTTCCAAGTCAAGCGCGCGTTTTCCATTGAAATTCATTGAATGCACAATCTGCTCGGCTTCGATCCTGAAGTAAAGCTTCGAGGAGAGGTTTGCACAACGCAGACCTACATAAAAATATGAACACATCACGAACTGAATTCTGGTTGGTTCGTTAAAAATTTTGAGCTTTTCAAAAAGTTTTTTTATTGTTTTGTCATTTGTAACACTTGTATATAAATTTTTCAACATTTGCGAAAGGTTTGCATTGTTTCGAGTGCGTTCTCGACTGTAAACAATGTTTTAATGTTTTCTGTTTGTTGTTTGGCCACAATTTTGTAGTGAGTTTGAACAAGAGCAGAAAAAATGCGCGCAGTGAGTGTAAAATTTACTTTTACGATTGTTGCGCATCTTTCTGCGTGCCGCCATTACCTCTGCTCTTATTTTTTAATGCGCGAGTTTTATATTCATATTCCTGCGGCCATATTCGCGCTATTCGGTTATCTTATTTGCTTTTATGTCCTTTTCGGCGTGCGCGTTCGGTAATTCAGCCAATATTACAACTTGCTCGAATAGCCTATTAGTAGAAAAATATCTATAAAAAGCGTAGTTTGTTTTACCTAGTTTTTGACTTAATTAATGCGAGACTTTAACAAAAATTTACATTTTATACTATACAGAAAACTTTTATAACTTTATACTTGTAAAAAAAGTAATTTCAGTTTGCATTTAATACTCTGTGCATTATTAATTTTTTAAAATGACATTTGAATTGCTGTTTGCAAAGCTAAACGCAACGCAGAAAAATTCTGTAGGAGTTACAACAATACACAGCTTAATTTGTTTCCCGCTCCGAATGTCACAAAAGAGGACTTTTCATCAAAAAATATGCGCGAAAGAAAAGCGGCGCGACGTGCTCGACCGTTTTGCGCGCCCCGAAGCACTAAAAACCATCAAACGTTTTTGCGCCGCGCCTCGCGCCTCCACCATCCGCGAGGAGGACGCGCGCTCGCCTTTGTCGATTTGTATTCAGTGACGTCGCGGGCAGACGAGATTATCAAGCGTTTCCGACTTGCTGCCTTCTCTGCATACGCGTTCAAACTACCACAGCGCGCGCTTTTCTATCTTTCCGAAACCCCGAGCAACCCTCGCATCGAAAATAAAAAAAGATCTTTGCTGCGGAGGTCAAAGCAAAACATTTTGCGATATCAAAAAATCAAACGCATAGAATATATTTCTAAATGTTTGAGAGGAAATCCCTGCAAACAATTAGATTTAAACGTGTTTGAAGTACTTTACTACCACAGTTAATGCATTTTCGTGCATTTTTAAAGCCACTCACAATGTTTGCGTCTCTGCTATTTATTTATTTATTTGTTTCGTACTGAAGCCACAAAACACAAGCAAACTCAAGCTTCTTAAAACCGTTTTTTTGTCCTGAACAATTGCAAACAGTGAAAAACCTGGCGTTTCTCTTGTTTTACTCGAATTTTTCTCTCAAATTGAAACGAATGCAAAACAGTCTCAGACATGGTCCCAAGACCAAACGATTTAAATAAATAAAATTGCGAATTCCAACCGCATGAATATGAAAAAATAAAATATTTTCCTACGAAAATATTTATTTAATATTAAAACAGGTATATTTTATATTTACAACTAAAGTTCAAAGAATTTTATAATTAATATGTGAAAATATACATTAAATAGATTTTTAGTTGGTGATTTATGAGCAATTTAAGGAAGACCAGATTTTTTATTCGAGCATGTAGACGGACCTTTCCAATTAACCAAATTATTCCTGCTACGTGGTTTTTTAAACTGCCGTGCACCTCAACCATGAAAACCGATGAAAAGGAACGAATTGCGCTGTTTTTTTAATGTTAAGCTCTGACGATGCGTATAAGTTAATAGTCGCGACGCCATTTTTCACGATTAACTTTTTTATGATTATCAACTGTCATTTTTTGGATTGCATGTATATTACAGCCAAAAAAAATTAAATTATATTTTTATCATGATGAAATTTATAATTTAAATTTTATTATTACGTCATTAACTTTAGCAATAAAAAATTACATAAGTGAATTATAAAATTTTTACGATTTTCATTCTTGCTCTTGAAATATGAAAAAATTAATAATTTCTTACCGAATTTTTAATGTAAGCTTTTTATCGTTTCACGTTTTGCTGAACGTTGTAATAACATTGGAAACGTGAAAATTCTGTGTAATATTATGACATCGCGGCGATCAAATGTTGGCCAATTGCCATTTTATGCTTCACTTTTTTGGCAATAAGTCCGAACAGCGCGGATCGTAACGTTCGAGGGGGGCGGCTCGCCGTAAACGCAAGCGCCAATTTCGCAGACCGAATAATCGCAAATAATCAAAATTTACGGCGTGAAATAAAATGCGCCGATCGCTCAACTCGATGTTTGTGTGACCATTCCGCAGCAGGTAGCGTCAAAGCTCTTCAAAGCTCTCCAACAGACCTCATCGATGCTCATATAAAATATTTGCAGTAAATGGTCGATCAATTTAGACAAGTGCTTTTATTTGTATTCCAGAAAGTGTTTGAGTGTAAAACGATGTATTTTATATTGTTATGGTGTTAGTGTGACAAGAAAAGAAATTGAAAATAAGTAAATTAAGAATTTTTCAATTTTGAAGTTATATCTTGACCGTTTTAGTATTAAGTTTTAACGCTTTAGGTTATTAAGGCAAGTTCAATACCAAAACGTATAAAATTCGGTGCAGTGGATGTTTCTCCACCGCGCAATTCGGCGTTTTGTCGGCGTCAGCTCAAATCAACCACATCAGCTCAATATGGCACGCTTTTGTGATAGGGCGTAGGAGGTGGGCGCGCGAGCTAAATTCGGAATTTCCAACACGCGTGCCAGCATCACCAACCCAGTCTATCAGCGGGAGCAAACAATTTTATGTTTTTCGATACCCAGGCCGCAATTTCGTTTTTACGACATTAGGCGGCCGAGTGAGTGGCAGTCGCTGTTGATCCCACCCCCTGCGCAAACCCAGCACTGACCCGATGTGTACATCAACAAAAACGCGATCATCCGAATTGCTCTTGTGCACCGGACATCCATGACGGTGACGTGGACATCCAAAAAGCCAAATTACCAAAAAACGCTTTACACACGAAAAATAGAACAGCAGTCTAGCCAAGGATGACAAAAAATCTATAAATAGAAGACGTAATATTTTTTCTTCTCAAATTTGAAATAATTTCAAAGTATTTTATTGGGTTTGTGAGAGTAAATGCGCTTATGCCAGGTGCAGCCACCACAATTGAGCTGATTATTCCGGCCGGAGCGATCATTTTCCACGGTTGACCGACCACAACTTAAGGAACTGCTTGCTTTGCCCTGCTGCGCTTGTTTTGACCCAAAGAGCAACGAGTTGTAATCGGCTTACGATTCGAAACTTTGCAAGGACCCAAACTCTTTAGGCCCTATTTTGTCTTAGCATCAAACATTTGCGAGCAGAAATTCGAAAAATAAAATATGTTATTACCTGCCAGCAGAGATGTCACCAGCACACCGACGACCAGATAGATTTCGGCCGCTGTTTTTGCAAACTGCGCCATTGCAGTCGAGGTAGGTTTGCGACAACCACCTACGGACGACTTGGAGGTGAACTACATTTCACATTATCTGAAAAAATAAAAAAAGCATTATTTATGTATGTAAACTAATGTTTTGACATTTCGAGATTGAAAATCATTCGTGAGTTGATTCCATCAAGCGCAAAATGCGCAGTGGATTGCTGGACGTCGTTTCCCGATTTCAATTTTCCGGCGAGTCTTGCGTCCCCATGGATTCCGATTACAATTTGATGCTTTCGCTCAACTCGACTCACTCACTCAGTGACCGGCGGAGTGCAGTAGAAAGCTCAGGATTTACTTCGTACTAGGTTTCCATCTAGAGGTGGCTTCAACTTGTTCGCAATTCTCAAAAGCAGCTGAGATCTATTTTGAAATCTTGTTGAAATCAACATACAGAGTGTTTAAATTTAAAACATTCAGCAACAAAAGGTTTTAATGGTTTTAATTAACGTTATGATACATTAAAGTCTCGGATAGATACGCAGGGATGAACATTTGAAACCAGCAGACCACAAACACCACAATATCACGTCGTATCCTTTGAAGGACTAGAACTAGAACAACCAAAGGACAATAATATACACTTGAGAAAGCGAAAGGATTTTCTCTCTGTCTATTTCTATTCTATTGTGGTAGTGCTAGCTGGCAGTGCGAGTAGATCAAATTAGCAAACTCGCATTTTAGTTTATTAATTCGCCGCCGGTATTCACGACGGTGGAACGCGCGCGGTGCGCGGAACAGCGCGCGCGATAACATAACATTATTTTCTCATTACGGATATAAATTTAATTTTCTCGAGCGCTCCGTGCGTCGGCTTTATGCAAAAAGCGATGCGCATCTCATCACAACACGTTTGCGCCTCGGCAAACAAAAGCAATTCAAATAAACCCACAAAATAACCTGTCAAAATAAAATTCACTAAAGTAATTATTTCAGGGGGTGAGAGGTGGAAAAAATCAACCCTTAAAAGTTTGTTTTGGGGTGCTGCAGTAGCATCTCGTTGAAATGTATTACATGTCGCTGCGCACGCTTCGGATAATTAAATTACCCCTTATGAATTTTGATGATGAAAGATTGAATGAATTATTTTTTGCGCACCCCTCACAAAGTGTCGTTATTAGATTTGCGCGTGTCTAACTTTTGCGTTCGTTTTATTTTGGTGCATGTTGCCCGGCGCCTCCACTTATTTTTAAGTGAGCTGTTTAGTAAATTGTTTCCAAAGTATTCGTTTGTTTGTTTCGGTGTAGTGGACTGGTAGGCTTTGTTCTCGCCGACTTGTTTTGTATTCTATGTGCGCGTTGTGCATTTGTGCAGCTGCATCGAGTCGATTGTTATTTGTCCAACGCTGGTAAAACAATTAAAATTATTTACATCGTTTTCCCATTGTGATTGCTGTATAATATTCATAATTACTATTTACACGTTTCCATAATATATACGATAATAAGTATGTGAATGTACCAATTAAAACTAAAATCAAAACATTTTTATTTTTTGATTTTCAGGTGAGCTAATAAATTAATTCGTACGTTCGTTTGTAATCACGTTCGACGGTTTTCACTGCGTGCAACAAATGTAACAAATAATAGATTTTGGTTGTGAATTGAATTCTCAACGCTTCGATTTCAATTTCGGCTCGCCGCAACACGCGCTTTTATTTTTGTGCGCCGCCATCGATTACTATTAAACGCGCACGGCGCACATAGAGGGTTTTAATCGTTTTAATAAAGCATTCGCGCACTTTACATTTCAAAGATTCGCTGGCGGGTGCATATTTGCATTGTTCACGTTCGGTATTGTGCGGGGAAATGCATGCCGAGAACAATGCGTTTGCCAGCGGGAACAAACCGAATTCATGTTTCTCGAAATGTGTGATAACATTTAAATTTCCCAACTGCAAAAAACGCATCGAACTGCCTTTTTTTTGATAAAAACTTTTTTCTATGCAATTATTATTTATGTATGTAAAACACGTAACGGTATTTTTCCAATACAAAATATTTTTTGTTCTAAAACTATTGTAATGTAAAATTTTTGTAAAAATTATTTGTTTATGCATTGAAACTTTTACAATAATAAATTTTTTATAACTTTTACGTTTTTATACATAAAATATTGTAGTAAAACTTATTTTTTTTTATAAAATTGATCATATCACATATATTTCTAATTTTTTTCTGTTATTACCGTAGTTAAGACAGTTATCACTGATTTGTAACTAAATCCACCCAATAGTACACCGAGATACAATAATTAATAACGAAATAATTGAGTAGTGAACTGACTGCTCGTCCAAGCAGACAATGCCACGTCTGAGTCACATCCCCTTGTGTGTGTCGACGCTCTAGTTGTCTCGTTGCCTGACTGTCTGGATGGCGGTCTAATTAGATCAGACAAAAGGACTGCGCGTTGTGCGCCTGCCGCTTGTTTAGAAGTGGCGCTTGGTGCCGCGCCGAGAAATGATGAAGAAATGAAGAACTGGCGAACGACGCACTAATTTGAACCTACGCCTCAACCACGTCAGTCACCCCTGGCAACCGTACTCTTTTCTGGACGCGCAGCAGCAATGAAATGACTTTGTTCAAGTTTCAGCGTTCTTGATGCGTTTTAATAGCGCTGCGCATACAGAACTCGAGGATGCGATGCATGTTAAAAGCTCACATCAAAATCACATTATATACAAAAGCAAAGTACATATTTAATGCTAGTGAAAATATATTTTACCCGGCGCATCCACTACATAATTTTATTTTGATTTTAAAGAAATACTATGACCTAGTTTTTAGAGTTTTGGTTTTGTTAAGTCTAAAATAAATGTTGAATGTGAATTTTCCAGTTGTTTGGCTCACGCTTTGCGGCTATTTATTTTAGTTTAGATGTTTTATAAATCTATAGGATTTCTCGAACACGAAGGGCATGCTGGTATTCTAAAGCGACCCCGAATCCATCTTAATTTGCGCATCGCTAGCCCAGATGAATAGACGTATCAACACTGCTCGACTATCCGGAACTAAACCACAAGATGATAAATTCTTTTTAGAAACAGTTCCTTTGCATAAAAATTGATTTCAACATTACACCTGAAATACAGCAGATACTGCAACAAAATATTTCTTTTCTGCAGCTTTTATCGCGCAAATATTGAGTCAAATGGATGGAAAGAAGAGAACTGGGACACATTTGGCCCGTGCAAATGTTGGTAATTTGGTATCGTTACGTCCCAAATGCACCTGCTTTTCATTACCGTATCGATTTCGGAAATCAATTTCTAACGTGCACGCGTTGCATCCAAGGACGGCGGAAGTAGGTGATGGGTGTGAGTGAAGTAGCCCCGAATGGCACAATGGCCCGTTTTCCTTTTCAGCTTTGTGTGGTATGGTTATAGGTGTGCACATGCTGGATCCCGGTGTTAGGTGGGAGCTTTTATTGCATGGAAATGCGAACGAGATGCATTCTGGACCGTTCGCAGGACGTGAATATATTCTATACGTTTGCAAGCGTCATGGTCGTCAGCTTTGTGTGCACGGGGGACAAGCTAGAACATTTCGACATTTGCACGTGCAAACGGGTTCATAAAATGACAATAAACAATTATTTATGGAGGGAGTATAAATTGACAAACGTATAATGCCAAAAGTTAGGAGTTTATTGGTATTTTTGACGTAAAAATCTTTGAAAACTAAATTTAGAGTTAAAATTTAAAGATTTAGACAAAAGTTTTGAAATTTTCTTATGCAAAAATATTTATAAACCATTTATAAATTACTTTTTATTATAAAAACTATTAATAAACAAGAAAAATAGCAAAAAATTGAATTTTTGAATTTTTTAGCTAAATAAATACCAAAAAGTAAATTACTCCCATACTTTTCTTGTAAAATATAATTTATATAAATACATTTATTACATGTTTATTGTAAAAGTATAAATTGAGAAGAAAATATTTTGAAACTTATTTTTCAAATTTTTTTTCTAAAATCATCTTTGAAAACAGCAAAATATAAAATTTTGTCATTTTATTTAACATTTAATACAATGTACACCAAAAGTTTTAAGTTCTTGATGTTTGTCGAGTACACCCTAAGTTTGCCTGAAATCTGAGAACGGCAAACTAAATAGATACCTTCGGAGTGAAGGATAGAGGAAGGACAATAACGCGCGACATTGAGCGCTCCGCCGCTTTACGACACGGCGCTGCATTATTTGCGGAGCTCAATTGCAAGATAAGCTAGTACCACCAGCGTCGCCGCCTCCGTTTCTTCCATCACTACCACCACAACTACCACCACTACCACCACATCAAACACATATTCTCCGCATTGTTAGCTCAACCTGCACTGCATATGCTCGGTTTTCCGTTTGCATCCCTTCTTTGCCACCTAATACGCCGTCGTAAAAAATCCACAACGTGATCACATCTAATTACAGATTAAATCGCAAACAGCTCGCCCGGCTCGCAATTAAAGCGCTTACGTTAATTGAAACTCTTATCCTCTTTTAATGTCGTTTGCACCGCGATAAGCGATGATAGCGCCCGTGCTACGAGATGGGGTTGGAATAAAATGGAATGGTGGCGTGACGATGCGGTGAATGCAAACGTTATCGAACGCTCGGCGTCGCCACAGCCGCGTGCCGACGCGACATAATGTCAAACATAGCAATTATTACACTTACACGTGCCACCTGTATTCACAACTAAATTGCTGTTATCTGATTTGTCAGCGTGTGTTAGGAGACAATTTATTTAACAGATTTTCTGTTTAATATTACCAGTAATTATGGTAACGCCCGGCGCATTCACCATGAAAATATAATGCTTTTTTAAATATGATGAGGAATTATTTGATTTACCATTTTTGTAGGTAATGTTTTGTGCAAATTTTTCACCCAGAAATGTACAGCCCAAAGCGCGGCGGGCGTATAATTGTGATTAATTGATTTTCCACGTGAGGCGAGCGCACCGCTCTTCGGATTTCTCATTTTCCCATTCAGGGGATGATTCCGCGCGGTCGAGAATGCAGAAAGCGAGAAAAATTGTCGAGCTTTTCA